TCATGTGAATTGATTTTTCCTACATTGTTGTTGAATAGTAATTGACAGAAGAATAGACGAGAAGAAAAACACGATATTTTTTTATCGGAATTCCAGATAGATATTATTATTCCTGACTTTGTTTTATGGGTGTCGCTTGGAGTGAGATATCGAGTAGGTCCGGTTTCTCATTATTTGTGTGACGAGACGTGACGTTTGTTGATAATCCGAACTGATAGGTATAGGTACTAGGCTAGTACTAGGTAGGTAATCTGATGAAATTACGACATGAGGATTCATGTGCCCATATTATGGTGATTTATCAAATTAGTTATGCCATCACGCATAAACTTAGCTCCATTTTTTGTTATTGATACACTTCTGCAAGTGACATAAGGATATGCATTTGCTATTTATTCAAAATTCCTAATGTTCATCATCGTGAAGGTTTTACTGCAACGTATTCTTGGGTCTGGGAACATTCTATGGTATTAAACATTTTCGTCTTGTTCAGCATTTGGAATATGAAGTGGCACCTAGAGTGTAAGAATATTTCGATTACCTGTGTTTACCTATAAACAAACGTCATGTTACATAAAATAAAAACAGGGCCCACTTTATAATAAAATTATAAAATAGAGTCACGAGTAATCATCTATCTAGAAGTTCGATCAAAAACTAACATGTCAAATCATTAAAGAATCAGTACTAATCTCTTCTGTCAATTTCTATACAATAAAAATGTTCAAAAAATCAATTTACACGAATCCAGTTAAAAGTTGAGAGTTATCAGCCAGGTCGAAATTGAAAATTCATTCGAACGTTTTTGTTCCATATTTTTTTGTTGAACCGGTCAAAGTGTGCCGTGTAAATTGAAGAGCAGTTCTTATAGCATTTTGTCTGATATTTCTGAATCTGATGGAATTTTTTGAGAAAAGTGGTCACAAAGTGGACTTTTTTGACATAACAATGAAATATAAAATTTTACCAAGTCCGAACCTGGATATTTTTTTCATAATATGTTATCTTGAATAGTTTCAGTAGAGGTACGTTGCTGCCAAATTTCAGCAGATTACGACGAATCATTTCTGTAATAACGACCATCAAAGTTATATAGCAATTTCACATAATACCCTGTATCTTCGTTATGGAGGGTCAAAAAATGTTTTCATATATATACATCAACTCATCTTGATTTTCCCTATTAACCATTTGGCTATGTGAGTCTCCTCATGAAACACCCTATAGTTTGATGCCTATATTATCTGTTTTTCTCAGTATATTTGCTTTCAGCATAAGGTCATATTTGTTTCTTGTGTTATATTGGTGCACATCTGTGTGAGTGGAATATTTTATCAAATTCAATCGAATATTCAATAGATTCTCGTAGACAATAACTGACAATAACGTCGAGTGTTCGTTTACCAAGTTTCGTTGTTTACAAAATTCGCTAAATTGGTTCCAAATGGTCGCAAACTATTTTTTTTTTTTTGTATTATCTGGAGTTGATTTTTCAATCTCCTATACTATTTCTACCTCGAAAATATTTCCAAACCTCCATATACGTACTGGAATATCATTTGCTGTTTACTTCTGTTTTTTTGCATTTACAACTGTCAAACTAAAGCGACGCACAACACTTGATAAACGAACAGTAAATACTAGCGTTGCTATGGTAACGTAATTTGTATGATTTTTTATCCACTTCCTATTTGAGTGGAATGGGCTTATATCACAAAAAAAATTATTTCATTATTCGATAGAACTCACCCAAACTAGCTTACCACCGCAAACCGTTTCTTGCTGTGAGCTCCCTACATTTTGTAAAAAATTATCGAAATCCCCGAATTTTCGGACCTCTGAAAACGAGGCGATGATGTGACGTCAAAACCCTAATACTGAAAGAAGACTATTCCAGACAGAGATGAATGATACATGATTTCTGACATAGTGAATAAGCGCGAGATCACAGTTGAAAGAATTAATATATCAGTTGCCTCAGTCTCCGTCGGGCGTTTGGTATTTTCTTTTAACTATGGCGAGATGAGGTTTCTACGTCATAAGAGTGTCCGTTTTCAGAAGGTACTATTTTTTATGTCCAAAAATAACACATTCCAGTTAATTTTTCCATAGAATTATGTCGTCAATCATTATTTATGTATAAAAGGATCATTATAAACATGGTTTGAGTTAAAAGTTCTACTAAGGTGTACAAGCCCATTGTCGAAGATATCGTGCAGAAAAGGATATTTAGGATTACCTAAATGGTCTATGTACTATTCTGTCTTATGTGTCATTTTGTAGCATTATTATAACAGCATCAAAAAGTGCCATGGAGATGTTTTTTCAGGTTTGTCATAACTTCATTATTAACGCCAGATAATATCTCTTAAACAAAAAGTCATATCAGGAATTTTTGAGAATCAGTTTATTGATCCTTCACTCGCGCAAATCTCTATCTCTCGTGATTTCCGAGATGACCATAATGGCCCTTCTTATCTTGAGCACAGTGTATATAGTATGGCGTGTCAGGATTATTTTCTGGGAGGAGGGTCATCAGTTGAATGAAAAAAAAAATACACGATAACTACCGATATCGCAAACGAGGCTTCAGATGGATCTTGGGGGGAGGGGTTCAAACCCCTAAAACCCCCAATGGGCACGCCTCTGGCCCAATATATACTACCTTGAGTCGATAAAATGGAAATAAATGCTTTGTGATGAGCCAGTGAATCAATCAGCAAGCTCCGCTAGTAAATTTTCGGTTTATTTATCTATGGTTTTTATTACGAGATTTCACATATATATTTACAAGTAGAATGCCGTCATAGGTAAGGCCATCATGTTTTACCGAGCGGTTCCTAAAAACTGACGATTCACATATAATTTTTTTGCAACACCCTGTTTTTTATATTGCTTTCGGAATCTGTGATATTTGGTTACCATGAAAATAAATAAGAACAATATTTGTGCTAGCTCGCCCATATTATTATAAAGGCTAAAGGCTGAGTATTTGTCGAAAGATTTTTTGTTCTAAATCCACTATGAGCTATGGTTCCAAGATGCGTGAAAATTTCAGCTTTCAAAGATTTGGTTTCCAACTTCGAAGCAGCAATATGAGATTGAAAAAAAAATCTGCGAAATACTGACGAATATATTCTCCGTCATAGATAACACGAAATCTGTAAATGTCAATACACAAAAGTTGTGAGAAAAATTGTTTTTCTCCAAACAGCATAGAAAGTGGCTTTTCTATGACACTTACCAGACAGCAAAGGTGTACTTTCTCTGCCTAGGCAGAAAAATTTTGTTTCCACGCAAAGTTCCAAGTAATTTGAATGAAATTGGTAATTGGTAAATTGACACTGATACAAAATGATGATGAGTTGTCGATGAAAAAAATTACACAAAACTGGTTTTACAGCATTTGGAGAAAAAAATTACAAAGAAGATCAAAAAGTTGTCAGTCCAATAGTTCAAACTAATAAAAATATGGAACTCAGAAAAACCATAAATATCGATGAATTTACCCACTGTGACGCCACTGGAAATATCATTTCGAATCTAATTGCACCAGAAGGGGGAAGACCAAGAAGACCACTGAGGAAAGAAATCCGTGTAAACCTCTTTCAATCGACGAATCATGATTAACCTTTGGTCTACAATCAATATTATGAGTTGAAGTTGAAGGGAATCGAATCTATATCGTTTTGGAATCAGCATATTTCATTCGTTATTTCGAAAAGCTAAATATGATGGTGGAGCCGTGACGTATTAGTCCCGCACTGTAGCTATCTCTCTCTGATACCTCGTCATTCTGTAGTGTTGCAGTGTGATTGGTGAGTTCAAGGACGATAGGCGTGTTGGGACTAAGACGTCGCACCAGTCACACCAATGAATTGACAACATTTCAAATGGCACAGGAATTGTGTGTTTTGAAATGGGCATATTCTAATTTATTTTTTTCATCGTCTTAGGATGAATGAAAAAATTCAAAATTAATTCACTGGTAGTTTTTCAGTATAGAGTTCACGATAATGTCGTTTCAAAAAATCAGTGGTCTCCCCCAATGAATAAAAAAACGATTTTTCATGGAAATGTTAATACCCTGTATCTCGAAACCGAAGCAAGTTACGACACATGTTTAAATGAACTTTATTCACTAAAATATCACAAGGAATCACCCCTTGAATTTGTTCGAAGTTATTAAGATACATCCTGTAGACAGGGTATATCTTAATGATATGCTTGATATTCAAGGGGCCGATTCTTCGACCCAAATCAAGAACGAAACTTCATATAACGTATGTCGTAAACGTCCTAACTTTTGAGATACAGGGTGTCGATGTTGAAAATACGCATAGATTATTTTTTTGTCCACCTTGTATAGCTTTTCGTGATGGCAAAATTCAGTCTGCTATGTAACTGAATCGGTATACAAATTTTAAAATTTTACATTCTGTGATAGTTATCCAGTAATAGATGTCCTGAATGGAGTACTCATCAGACGACTCAGACATCAAAATTTGGAGTCTGGTCTCGTTTTTCGGTTTTTTCTTGAAAACGAAACGTTCTATCGAGTATCAACAAGAGGATCTTTTTTGTTACATAATTGCATAGCCTTTTATGACATATAGTATACAATTTGAAAAATTTTGTTCGTTGCTCACTTTTAATTAAAATAAAAACAATAATATTCCCGCAGCGGTGCCACTGGTGAAGAAAATGAAAATTTTTGTACATCAGAAAATGCACCTTGATGCATAAAAGACGTGTACCAAGTTTCATGAAGATGTATACAATATTGTCTCAGTTATTATCAAAAAGCTGAATATTTTTCAAATCTGCATCACCCTGTAGGATCTCAAAAGTTAAGACTTTTCATATAAAGGTTTCTTCTTGGAATGAATCAATGAATCACCACCTCGAATATATCAGCATGTCTTTAAGGAACACCCTGTATAGATTAATGAATGTTGGCCTCTTCGATAAATAAAGTCTACCTACCTATAGGTACATACCAAAATTTGAAGATTTGTACTCGAATTTTGATTGTTCACTTCATGACTGTATAGGTAATTAGAAGCCACACAGTTTAAAAGACATTTCTGAAGAATGTCATTGAATTTTCAGATGAACCTCCGATCATTCGGTCATAACCACACTTTTGTTGGTACATTTTCGTTCGAATTTCACCGTGCCATAACCCGTCTGCAAACACATGGCGCACAAAATAAAACTAGATGATATAGCAGAGTGAAGAGACAGAGGTAGACAGCTTATCGTATAAATAAATACAACCTCGTGAGTATCGTAAAGCAAATAGTTGAATTAGAACGTCACTTACACCAAGACTTCATGACTACAAACTACGAAATCCACCAACCACTAGTTACGACGTCCACGTGAAAAGTTTTACTGAACAACATTAACAGCAAAGGAATTTGGTTGATGCACCTGCTAAGTAACTTCCACAGACGGAGACATTTAAAACATCCTTAACATGCTATGATGATTATATTTGTGGTATTTGTATATTTCCATAGTTTCAAAGGTAGTTTTGAAATTTTTGTGAAATGTGAACATACTAATTCAAGTATAAGTATTGATGGTGAGTATTATTAGATTCATGCACGGCAGGAGACGAGATGAATAATTATTTTAGGCACGCGCTTGCCCAGCAAACACTAAAGATAGTTGGCGGTTCAGTGGCCAATTGTTTCAAACGAAGGCATACTGCTGGCAATTATCACTATTTGTCGGTGATAAGAAATTATTTATACTGTTTCTATATCACACTTTTATTGTGCTGGTACAACATTATAGGTACCTATATTTTGTATAGATTTATGGAAATCAAGATTGTATTATTTTTATGGCATCGATGGGAATCAGTGAGTATTATTCATATTTTTTGAAGATCCCTGGAACAGTATACTCAATGGTTGAATGATAATGTTTCAATCATAAAAATACTTATCAGACTCATTTCACTGACATCATATATTATTTTCGACAATGGACAAATAATCTGTTTTTTATAGTTCGTGTTGTGTCGTGTGAAGTGAAAATATTGAAACAAATCAAAATTCAATTTACAACCAAATTATAGAAAAATAAACACTTAATAAATACTTAAATCAAACCAACTTCACTCCATCAGTAAAACCTGATAGATGTTTCTTAACATTCAGGTTTTATTCGGTGAGCACTTGTTAATTTACTTTTCTCATAGATTAATGAATTTTTCTCAATATAGAAGTGTTTCGCAGTAAAGAAAGATTGGTGAAGGTTATAATCGCCAAATTTGGCGTAGATATAAACGCCAAATTTGGCGTAGATGCGTATTCGCCAAAATTTGCGAACATGGAAGTACGACCAAATTAATTTGAACGGGTTACCCCAGGATTTTTTTCTGAGTGCAAAAATACTAAAATGATTAATGTTAGAATGTTCGAACTTCGATTTATATTGTATCTTCGATTTCAGGTAAATACAATATTTTCTGGTGTTTTCTGTATGGTTCAAAATTTCTAAAACTTTTGAAATAGCGCGAAGTATTGGAGTTTTATGTATTATTAGGGTTAGCACCTACTATGATTAATTAAAGTCACTCACTTTAATTATTAGTTTTATTAACCATATAAAGTGGAAAATCTTACAGCATCACCATCATGTTATTAGGCGGTAAAAAGGTAGAGAGAGCTCTATCTGACGGCTGTCATTGGTCATTCTAAAAGCTAAGAATTGCCAACATAAAATAATAATGGCCATGTTTACAGAACCGGCTGACGGAACATCCCCCTTTTTTACAGAATCAAACAAAATCTTTCATCCAGGTCGGTTTTGTACATGAGCGTTTAGGTCGGCCTGGAGTTGGACACTTTATATCATTTTTTAAATTAACCTTGGGTGATGGAGACAAATCAGATACATCAGATGTTGAAACATTGGTATCAGGCAAGACCTGAATACTTTCAGACACCCTAAGACTAGGTTCACTGGCACTGCTGTTCACTATCATATCACTGGACACATTATTATTATTATTGTTATTACCTAGTTCTCTATGCCATGAATCATCTGCTTGGGGTACTGAATTCTCTAATGGAGGGGAGATTAAGTTTCTATAAATTTGATTGTTTGATTCATTATTATAATATGGGGCCTCTATCAAAAACCACCTATTTCGACGGAATACGCTTCTTGGTGTTTGTATAGTATATGAACGAGGCTCATCTGTTTTATCAATTACTGTTCCATACGATCTTATATCAGTAACCCAAACCGGATCATTTGGTTTCAACTCGCACATATCTTTGGCTTTATGTCTCAGATCATAATTTTCACTTTGTTTCTGTTTACTTGCTGTCCCCTTTTCTCGCATACTAGGTCTGGGATCAATAACCTGCTCTAATTTACTGGGAAGGATAGGCAAAATACCTCTAATTTTCCTGTTCATAAGCAGTTCTGCCGGACTAAAACCGCACTCTAACGGTGTTGATCTATATGATAATAGAGCCAAAGATAGGTCTTCGTTCTTCTTGATAATGTTTTTTGCAATTTTGACTGCTGCCTCTACACACCCGTTTGATTGAGGGTAGTGAGGGCTACTAGTTACATGTCTAAAATTGTATAATGAGGCAAACTTCCTAAATTCCGATTGGAATTGGGGACCATTATCTGATCTTACCACGTCAGCTATCCCATATCTCGAGAACACTTCCTTCATTTTCCCTATAATGTGACTCTCAGTCATGCTACCAAGTTTGAAAATTTCAAAAAACCGAGAATAATAGTCTGTAATAATTAGGTACCAATCTACACATTTGAAAAGATCTACTGCAATTTTCTGCCAAGGTCGAGTTGGTAACTCATCTTTGACAAAAGTCTCTTTAATGTTAACTCGTTCTTCTATACAATTAGGACATGAACGAATAAGATTTTCAATCTGTGTTGAAAGGCCTATCCACCACACAGACATCTTAGCTCTTTCACGTGACTTTGTGATACCTTGATGTCCTGAATGAATAAAGTTTATCACTTCCAATTGAAGTTTAGGAGGGATAATTATTCGAGAACTTTTAAGTAACAAATTTTCATTGAATGTTATATCATTTTTATACTGAAAATATGGGCATAATTCAACTGATAGATCTTTTTTGTCAGGCCAACCAGAAATAGAATATTCCTTTAATTTTATACAAATTGGATCCAATGACTGTTCCAATGCAATTTTTTCTAAAAAGTGATCTTTTATGGGCAAATGTTTTATTATGAGGCGCACATGAGCATCTACTTCCTCAGTTAGTTCATCGGAGGATTCCAAGGTCTGCAGAGGATTGCGAGATAATGCATCGGCCATTAAAAGATTCTTACCTGGAGTATACCGAACTGTGTAAGTATACCGCATTAGTCGAATTCGGAATCTCTGCAACCTAGGTGACAAATCATCCAAACTTTTTGTCTGTAGTATTTGAATAAGTGGTTTGTGATCAGTTTCAAGAATTATGGGAATACCAATGATATATTCTTTAAACTTTTCACAAGCCCAGGTAAGTCCTAGGGCTTCTCTTTCAATTTGGGCATACCAACGCTCCGTAGGTGTAAGGGTTCTAGATGCATAAGCAATAATTTCAAATTCATTATTATCATTGACCTGCATAAGTACAGATCCAAGACCAAATGATGAAGCATCTGCACTCACTATTACTTGTTTTTGAGGGTCAAAAAATGATAAAGTAGGGGCATTAGACAATAAATATTTAACTTTCTTCAAAGCCACTTGTTGAGGTTTTCCCCAAGAGAACATAACATCATTTTTTAAAAGATAGTTGAGAGGTTCAAGTGTATTTGATTTATCTGGAATGAAACGTGCCGCAAAATTTATCATTCCTAGGAGTTGAAGTACTTCTTTCTTATTAGTGGGCTCTGGAAAGTCTATAATGGCTTGAACACGTGATGGTTCAATAGCCACTCCAGTTCCAGATATTACATGACCTAGGAATGTTATCTGTTCCACTCCTATGTTGCACTTCTGCTTATTCAAAGTGATTCCTTCTTGACACAAGCAATTAAGAACCTTTCGAAGTATTTGATCATGCTCTTCAATACTTGGAGCATGTACAAGAATATCATCGATGTGGGTGATGACCCCTTTAATATTCTGAAGAATTTTTGAAAATTTTAAACTAAAATATTCCGGGGCACATGATATGCCGAATGGAAGTCGCTTAAACATGAAACGACCAAAAGGAGTGATAAAAGTAGTCAAGGGTTGAGATTCTTTTGATAAACGCAATTGATAGAAACCAGAATTAGCATCTAGTTTTGAAAAATATTTAGATCCTTGTAGTTGAGCTAGAGAGTATTCTACTTTAGGAATTGGAAAATATGAGCGCAAAACATTTTTATTGAGAGCTGTGTAATCACAACAAAGTCTGACTGAATCACCCTTTGGAACAACCACTATTGGGGAAACCCAAGTAGTGTGTTCTTCTACTGGTTCAATGATATTGAGTGTAACGATCAATTCCCTCGTTACAACAATAGTTCGTTTAAATTGTGTTGGTCGAAGTGATATCGATTTATTTATCGATCTGGTATGCGTGGAACAACCTGGCCGATAGTGGATCAACTATTATCGAGTACTCAATTAATGGCAGGACGCTTACCGTAATCAGTGAGTTCAGTGGTTCAGTGTGGGCTGCGGACGATAGATGGCGTATGCATTCACTTTTCAAAGTAAATCAACCATTAAAGGAAGGATTCCTTCAATTTGTTTTTGCTAATAGGATTCTTATCAGCGTAAGTGAGAAAGAATGCGTTTTTCTTCATTTTTCGAGAGTGATATCGAAAATAGAGTGTGGTTCTGGATGTGATGGGAGTCCATTGTGAATCTGTTGGTACGAAGAGTTCTGCGAGATTTCTGAAGTGATTTTCAGCCAGTTTGTGGGATAAAAATTGCAAAACTCATTCCATCGGGTGACCCTTTTTGGTGGTAATTGATTTGAGCTACTATTTGGAAAAAGGGGGCACTATCTTCTTAGGAAGGATTTGATTTCGGCCGATAGAAATTCCTACCACGCCATTTCCTGAACATCGAAGCAATCCAGTACCGCTTGCTCTCTTGTTATACGACGAAAACCCTCACTGAGGAGGTATGTTATATTTTAATTTCCTTATACAGAGTGTACGAGTGAAAGTGTATATTTAATGGATCACCATTATGACATTATCGATTCTGATTCACTATTCGATTTTTAGGGTTTTTGTACATGAATAAGTGAATACCTGGATCCTCTTTTATGCATAGTACTGTACCTATAAGGTATGCCATCTTATAAGTACTGGGAGTTGGCAAAATTTTGA